CCTCAGTCTGAGAGCATCAAAGCAATCAACAAGACAACCATATGTCACATGAGAAGTGTGTCGCAAACCAAAGGGTGGGATGGTCTCTGAGGGTGGCGAATGCAGCCTAGGGGTCGAAAACTCCTAAGGGCATCCACACATAGATAACAGGGAGACACATGTCATCAGGCTCAATGAGGGTAGGGAACTCGGAGCGAACAGAACCAATGACCCTAACAGATAGACCATCAGCGCGAGTAAAGCTCGGCTAAGGGGTGACCGCTATGGAGGGTCGACCATGCACGGGAACAAGGGAGCTTGGTATACTGGGCGCACGTAGATGAAGCATGCGGGGCTGCCTAACTAGGGCGTGAGGGTCGGCAGAGGGTAGGAAGGTGATGGGTAAGGGAATCATGTAGATGACTCCTAAGGTGGGGAAGTCGGAGCTAGATCCGTAAGATGGGAAGTCACGGCAACGCTACGGTCCCGATGCCTATGCGTACACCAAGTAAGAGCCCAACTCAGAGGAACCCGGCTAAAGGGAGACCATCATGCGACACAAGCAGGGTACTGTACAGGGTAGAGTGGTAAGAGAGTGGCGACGTCTGAAGTAGGCAGAGCTGATCGTGATGAAGTTCATGAAGCTGCCGATGACGTCCACGATGAGAAGTCCGGAATGCCGTCGAGGAAGAGTCGTAACGTCGACGAGCTGAAGTAGCAAAACTGGAGTGGATGGAGTACTGAGAAGTCAAGGACGTGGGAAGGTAAGTCAGAGTCAATCGTCGTATCGAGCAGGACGACGACGAGTGCGCTGTGGACGCTCAAAAGCTTCCGGCTGCTGCTGAAGGTCTGCCTCAGATGGAGCAGGCTCGACTTCAGCGGTCTCCTCAGCCGGGGGAGAAGGAGGAGGGTCAGTGAAATGAGGAGGAGCAGTGAACCCAGCACGACGAGCACGGTCATAGGCACGCACCAACATGCGAGCGCGCTACAAGTGCTCGAGGGGCTCCCAGATAGCCTCCTCATCAGGGTAACCCTTCCAACGTACGAGATACTCGACGTGGGGAGGGTTGTCGTCGGTGACTCGGTGACCAATGATGTCTGAAACGAAGAACTCCTCGTGGCCGTCCACCATGAGGGGTGGAGGGCGCTCGTATGGTCATCCAGTGAAACGCTCAGACGGTCTGCGGTAAGGACGCAGTAACGAGACGTGGTAGACATCATGCACACGAGCCTGGCGTAGGTAGTCGGGCAGCTTCACACGAAAGTTGACCGGGCTAGATGCCGTATCAGAACCAACGGCCCGGAGGATGCGGCATGGGCCAAAGAAGCGACGCCGAAACTTGCGAAGCATGTCCGCTTTGAGCTGTAAGTGGCGGGCGTCGATAAGCACATCATCACCGACTTTGAATGGATGGTCCATCCTCGATCGGTTCGCACGTGCTGCCATGCGAGTCTGGGAAGCGGCTATGTGCTCATGTGCGGTCTTCATGATCGACGTCATGTGTGCAACCCAATCATCCTGCGCGGGACAACTCGTGTCGGGGTGCATCTGTGACGGTCGAAGAAAGTCCGCAGGAACACGAGGGTGATAGCCGAGGTCGCAATAGTAAGGCGACATCCCCGTGGCTGGCGAGACGGCGTGGTTGTAGGCTATCTCCGCGTAGGCAAGATGAAGGTCCCACTGCTGGTTGTCACGAACAATCTTTCGGAGAATATCTCCGAGAGTCCTGTTCGTGATCTCGGTCTGACCATCAGTCTGAGGATGGTAAGACGAGGAGAAGCGGAGCTGAGTGCCGTACACCTCGTGGAGCCGTCGCCAGAATCGGCTGGTAAAGCGTGGGTCATGGTCAGATATGATGCTCAGAGGTAAGCCGTGGTCACGCACGACTCGGTCAAATACGATGTCGGCGACCTCACGTGCACTGATGGCATAGCGGCACGGAACAGACTGTGCACTCTTTGTGAAGCGGTCGACGACGACCAAGATAGCATCATGACCGCGAGGGGTCGGAGGTCGAAGAGGACCGATAAAGTCCATCAAGATGGACTGCCAACGACACTCAGGGATAGGAAGAGGCTAGAGCAAACCATAAGGTAGGTGGTTTGCACAGTTCACCTCCTGACAGGTGGGACACTCTGCGACGTAGTCCTTCACAAAGTCCTTGCGCTTCGGCCAGACGTACAGACGGCTCACACGAGCCAACGTCTTGTGGAAGCCCATATGACTGGCGGCTGCCTGGTCATGAAACTCTGCTACTGCTCGGACACGTAGCTGTCCAGTGGAGGGAACGCAAATACGGAGCTCTCTAGTGCCCTGTGAACCGTGCCAGTACACGAGACCGTTGTCCCCGAGAGAGTAGTTCGGGACGGTCTTGCCACTCCGAAGGGTCGCGTGGATGTCGCGATAGTCGGGGCAGTGGAGGTACTGAGTGCGAAACTCGTCGATCACCGAGTGGTGGACGGTGGTGACCGAGATGGAAGAGAGCTGGATCTGCTCCTGGTCGTGGTCAGGGCGCCGGGATAGGGCATCTGCGACCCGATTAGTCTCACCCTTGATGTGCTGAGTGGTAAAACTAAACTCGGATAGGTCGCGCCACCAGCGAGCCTGTCGAGGAGTGAGCTTCGGCTTAGTCAGAAAAGCCTGGACAGCAGAGTTGTCCGTGCGCACTGTGAATGGTGCCCCGTGCAGGTAGTGCCGCCAGTGTCGAGCGGCATAAACTACTGCGAGAACCTTACGTTCATCAGCTGTGTAGTTTATCTCGGCGGGCAGGAGCTGACGGGTGTAGAAGGCTATCGGACAATCACTTGAGCGAGACTCGACAGTGCCGTCCTCGGCGATGGTAGGAGAATAGTCAATAGARGGCTCGTCAGTAGCTGGAYGAGTAGGCGTCAGTCGGGAAGCAGTGGTAGGGGTAGGTGRTGGGAAGCGAGGGATACGAGGATGAGAGGAATCAGGAGAGGAGGGGAAGACCTGAGAAAGCACTGCTCCGACAGCAAAGTCTGACGCATTGGTGGTAAGGATAAAAGGGCGATCAAAATCGGGTAGGTGAAGAACCGGTGCGCATGTCACCGCCTTCTTGAGGGCGAGGAAGGCGTCCTCGTGGAGGGGTGTCCAAGCCCAGGGTGGGTTCTTCCGGAGGAGGGTGGAGGTAAGGACGTAGGAATACCTAGCGTAGCCCCAGATGAAGTTACTATAGTAGCTGGTCAGGTCTAGGAAGCTGCGAAGCTGCTTGGCGGATGTGGGGGCGGGCCACTCCGCACTAGCAGTGATCTTCACGTCGTCCATGTAGAGACCCAGGTCAGACACATAGTGTCCTAAAAAATCCACTTTCTGCTGGGCAAAGCGGCACTTACTCAGCTTGGCGTAGAAGCCATGTCTGCGCAAGCGGTCAAGGACGTCGCGGAGGTGTCTGAGGTGCTCCTCAAGGGTACGACTGTAGACCAGGATATCGTCGAGGTAGACGAGAACGTACTGCTCCAGGATGTCCCTGAAGATGTCGTTCATCGCCCTCTGGAAGGTGGCGGGTGCATTGGTGAGGCCAAATGACATCACCGTAAACTCGTAGTGGCTGAAGCGCGATCGGAACGCTGTCTTCGGCTGGTCGGCTGCAGCGACGCGGATCTGATGGTAACCGCTACGAAGATCAATCCTCGTAAAGAAGCGGTTGCCTGCTAGGCGGTCGAACAGCTCATCGGAACGAGGCATGGAGTAGCTGTTCTTAACCGTGTAGCGGTTGAGACCGCGATAGTCGATGCAGAGACGGAGAGTTTCATCCGCTTTGCGAGCAAAGAGGACGGGTGCACCCCACGGGGAGTTGCTGGGTTTAATGAAACCCAGTTTCAGGAGCTCTTCAAACTGACGCTTGAGTTCGGTGGCCTCGGGAATCGAGAGTCGGTAGGGTGCCTGGTGGTGAACACGATAGTCAGGCACAAGCTGAATGAAGTGCTCGACGTCACGCATCGGTGGGATGCCGGCGTACGAGATTGACGATGGGAAAACGTCGTGGTACTCTCGGATGAGGTCACGAACTGCGGGCTCCARGTCAGCCGTATATCGTGCGAGTTCCTAAGCGTCGGCGTCAGCGCGTGACGGCGGGGTGGACTCGACGAACGACGAAAGGACGGAAGTAGAGATGGGAGTCATAGAGATAGAGGGAGGATCTGGCTCCACAGGGATGAGCTCGACGTCGGGACAGGGTGGATCATAGTGTAAGAGATCCGTCACGTCCACCATAAAGAAGGTGACGTCGTCCTGTCGAATGAAGTGAGCTATTTGCCGAGGCGAGGTGACAGTGATAGAGGGGGATGGTGTGGGCACTGGCGGCTCCGAAGGAGAAGGATCGGGCCGTGGTATCGCCGTGGTACGTATGAAAGGTACGCGATACGTCTGTCCACACTTCGTTTTGACAACGAGAGTGTTGGTCGCCCAATCGGCCTCGGTGCTGCGGAACTGACGAGACCACGGAGTGCCAAAAATGAAGTCGTACCCCGTCTCCATCACATCGAAATATGCAGAGGAGCGGTGGCGACGAGACGCCGGGGAACGATCGGTCGGCTCGAGAGTGAGGAAGAAGGGGAGGTCGCTGACCGTCTAATCGAAGAAATGCTGGGTCTTGTCATCCCCTAGGGTAACGGAGATGGGAGTCGGAGACCCTGTCGTGGGTAAGCGGGCTTCCTTCACCACGCGTGGGTGAATGAAGTCGCCCTGAGAACCGGAATCCCACAGCGCTGAGTACACCCTCGTGGAGGTCCCGAGTCGTACTCGGATGATCGGGAGGGTGCGATCAGGGTCAGAGAGGATGGTGAGAAGGCGACGCAGTGCAGCGACATGGAGGGTGAATCGCTCTTGACGAGCCTGGAGCATGTTCAAGTCCAGAAGAGAGGACACAACGTCCTCGCGAGTAGCAAGCTGCTCGCTGCAACGGGCTGAGCGAATGGCTCGACACGTCGGTAGTCGCGGCGGGGAAGGAGGGGAGACGGTGGTCGGCGGAGGCGCAGACGGTACTGCGACAGAGGGCTGAGTACACTCTGTCGAGTTCTGCGATACCTCAACTCCAGTAGCGAGAGGGGCGAACTGCGACGGAAATGTCGAAAAGCCCACTACAAAGGAGGGCGCAGGTGTACACTGCATCGTGGCTAGGAGGCGCCACGGGGACGTGAGGCGCCGGGGGGGGACTGAGCACGATGCTGACGAGAAAGATCAGCGTAGTGGTGGTCGAGGGCGGTAGTGTAAGGGCACCGCGAGGAGGTATGACCCGTGAAGCGGCAGCGCAAACGCCCACGTCAGCCCAGAATAGTCGCGCGCTCCTCAGCGGAAAGGACACCGCGAGGAGGGACGAAGCCCTGAGGGAGGTCCTCCTGAAGGATCTCGGGGGGCGACGCGCCTGCGTGACCGGGGAGGCTGCGTGCCCGACAAAGGGCGGAGAGCGCGAGCTGAAGGCGTTCAGCTGCAGGGAGGGTCGAGTCCTCCAAGTGATAGTGGTTGGCCTCGCAGAGGCCGAGGTCGTCGTTGTGGTCGTCCTCAGGTGACAGTGGGGCAACAGCGTCCTGCTCACCATACTCAAGCGCGCTGAAGCGGCGCGAGAAGTGGCGGCCCTGATGCGTGGAACGGCGAGGGCGACCGCGGAAAGGGGAACGGCACTGGGAAGTGTCGTGAGAGGAGGAGGACGCGTAGCCCGTGCGCTGGGGCTGGGAGGAGGAGGCGGGGTGAAGACGGGCTCGCATCCGCTGGTGGTCCCTGGCGGCCTCGTAARCCTGTGGGGCCGATGTGAACTCGTACCGCCATAGCTCAGAGCGGTACTCGAGCGGAAGGCTGGCCAAGAAACGATCGATAAGGGCAGCCTCGGGGAGGAACGCCACGTCGTAAACGAGGTGGGCGTCCTGAAAGACCTGGATATGGCGATCCAGAGCCGGACCAGCGTGTAGTGACGACACGCTCGAATGCGTCAGTCACGTCGTATCGGGCTCCGAACCGATCCTCGAGGAACGCCTGGAAATCCACGAAGGTCGGAGTCCGACCCTCACGAAGGGAGTGGGCATAAAAATCCTCTCAGGCCTCGAAAGGACCGCCACGCAGGCGCGTGGAGAGGTGACCCACCCACGTCTTTGGTGTGGCGCCCATGAGTTGGAGTGTGCAGGTGGCAGACTGCAGCCACCGAGACACGCGTATGCCTGTACCGTCATACAAGGCAATGTCCGACAAGCGGATGAGTGGTGCGCCACCGTTTTGGCGGCGAGGGGATCGAGGAGCGGAGGCCTGTGCCACGGCTGAGTAAGTCGGCGCAGGTCATGGAGAAAGGGGCGCAGCTGACTGTGCGCCCGGGCCGCATGGGGGAGCGGCGGTGGCAACAACGGCAGGCTGCGAGGGTGTTGCGGTAGAAGAGGTCGCAACAACCGCAGGAGTAGGAAGAAGGTAGGAAGGAGTTGTGTAGAGTGCAGGGCGCGGAAAGCGAGCCTGCATGGGAGGAAGCGTAGAGGAGGTAGGGGTTGCACCCGAAGGCGCAGCCACCTGTGAGGGTGGAGGTGGCTGAAGGCGTAAGAGGGCGAGGTCCGCCCGGAGCAGGACAATCTCGTCCGCGAGACCTCGAACGTAGATCGATCGAGGGGTGGCAGGAGGAAGAGTGGAGGGGGTGGACGCACAAGCGGCGCGGGGCATCCCAGAGGGGGGAGAGCCAGGTGGCGCTGCGGTCGTGCGAAGGGGAGGGAGAAGCGGGGCACCCGGAAAAGCTGAGACCATGGTAGCGGGTTGTTGTACCGTGGCCGTAGTGACCAGGATATGGGCGGGTGCGCCCGTATACTGAGGGGGGCCCTGGCTCGTGGCGGCCGTCGTGCTAGGGGCGTGGACAGTCACCAAGATGGCCGGGTCAGGGGCAACGGAGGAGGAAGCTCCGCCGTGGCCACCCTGTCGGAGGACGGGGGACCCGGACTGGGAGCCAGGAGATGACGGACACGCAGCGTCCTGGAGTTGCTGCATGCCGGCGGCAAGGGTCGCCACCTGCGCCTGTAAGGGCGCGAGGGCCGCGAGTTGCGCCTGGATGGGCGCAAGGGTCGCGAGTTGCGCCTGGATGGGCGCAAGGAGGGAGGTGAGGAGGGTGTGTAGATCCCCCTGGGGCTGATGGCCCGTGTCCGCCAGCACGGGTGTGGAGCCCGATGCCGTGGTCATCGCCGTGTCGGCGGCGTGTGACGCACCTTCGGCCATGGGGAGATGACGGACCGGACTGGAGTGGGCCAGAAGAGGTCCGCGTGAGCGGAGGGTGTAGGGGGAAGTCCGCGGTAGAAAGCGACGAACGGCGCTAGCAAGGCTAGCACGGGCGCCGTCCAAGGGGGAGGGGTGGTTCGGGTCCAGGATACCCGAAGAGGACTGGGAAGTAGGGGGGTTTTGAGGAACCCTAAACCCTACAAAAACCCTAAGGAAAACCCTAACCAAGGCTTAAGTGGTTAGGGTAGGGTACCGGTGACCTAATCAAGAAAGTAAAAGAGCAAGCATAGGGGGGGGGAAGGCAGGAGAAAAATAAATAAGTAGCGAGATTTCGAGAGAAAATAAAAATAAATAAGAAAATAAATAAATAAGAAAATTAATTAAAAAAATAAGTAAAAGGATGGAAAGGGAAAACAATATTTATTATTATTATTATTATTTTTTGTTTAACTTTTCGGCAGCATTTCCCTACCCCCCACGGGGTCAAGAATGTGCCAAGGGAAAAGGAAAGACCAAGGTGAGCACACTAGAGATGCCACAAATAATATTAAAAAAAAATTCAGGAAATAAAAAAAAAAATAATAGATAAATAAATAAATAAATGTGTGAGGAGGTGGGAAGAAATGGGTTATCTGATTTTCCAAAAATTTTGGCACCATTTCTTTACCCCCATGGGGTCGAAGTGTGTCGAAAAGACTAAGTAAGAGAAAATCAGAAAATTTCGGCAACACTTCGTTACCCCCACGGGGCCAAAACGTGTGCTGAAAGCAAGAAAGGCTAGCACCTAATCAGATTTAGGGTTGCCGCCAAAAAATTCAAATTTTTAGAATAAATAAAAATAAATAAAATAAATCAGAAAATAAGAAAAGAGGGTGGGGAAGAAGATGAGAAAACTAACAACTAATCAGATTTAGGGTTGCCGTAAAGAAAATCGAATTTCCTGAATAAATAGAAAAATAAATGAAATGAATCAGAAAATCAGAAAAGAGAGAGGGAAAGAAGAAATTTCGAACTTTTGGAAAAGAGAAAAGATAAATCAAAAGAGAGCTGGAAAGAAGAAAAACAGAAGAAAAAAAAAATCGAAGTAGGGGGGAAGAGGAAGGAAAAAGTGAAGGAGAAAAGAAAGATATAGGTGGGGGGAGAGAAAAAGATAAAGAGGGAGGTAGTTGGGGGAGAGGAGGGATGGGGAAAGGTGGACAGGGATCAAGAAAGAAGGAGAAAGAAGGAAAGAAAAGAAGAGATAAAGAAAATAGAGTAAAAGAATGGGTGGTGGGAGAAAGGTGGGGTGGGGAAGATAAAAGAAGGAGAGAAAAGATGGAGTGGAAGGTGGGGGAAAGAGAAGGGGTGAGTAAGAGGAGAGTGGGTTAGTAGAGGAAGAGGGGAGAAGGGAGTGATACCTGGCCCTTGGTGTCTCCAAGGGCACAAGGAACACCAAGACCAGGAGGGTCTTGGTCTTTGCTGCAGCAGCCAGTTGGAGGAGAGAGGGGGGGCTGAGATCTTGATCAGCCCCCAGCAGGACTTCTGCAAATGTCCAGATGTAGGGTCTGCTGTGTGAGCAGGCCCTCTCCACTGTAGAGCAGCCCCTTAAGCAGGGGGGTCTTCAGTCCCACCACAGGCTGCCACCCTGCCCTGGGAGATGGCCACGTGCATAGGCAGCAACAGCCAGAGGGGGGGGGGGGGGGGGGGGGGGGGGGTAAATAGCAACTTCGCTGCTGCTACAGAGCCATGGACACACTGTGGCGAGTGTGTTATGAGGCTGCTTACGCACGCGCATGGCTCGACATGTGTCTTGGTTCAAACCCCAGTGGCAGCAGTTGCATCCCGGATCTTGAGAATA